CCCCCCCCAAAGCAAAGCCGCCTGGGCTCAGACGGAGGAAACAGCAGCCAGCGAGGGCCCAACAAAGCACAATTGTGCCCTGCCGGCCCTGAGAACAGGCAGCTCAATGGGCTATAAACAGCCTAGGGAGTCACTCCGTCTCGGGGTGAACAAAGGGCATTCGGAAGAAGTTTCCGACCTGGGTCCAGCTGGTCCCAGCTGGGGAAAGGGAAGGGCCCATTCCCAGCCCAGAGCACAATAGGGAACAGCCGTCACCCAGCATCACAGCGCAGCCAGGCTGGGGCAGAAGCAGGCTAAGGGCTACGTCAGGCACCTGGGGAGGGGCTGGGGCCAGCCGGCAGGCAGGGCCCTGGGCTGGGGACCCAGGGGACAGCATGAGAGGCACTGTGAGTCCCAGAGCAGGAGGCAGCAGCGGGACACAGGGCAGGGCTAGGATGGCCTTCGCATTGCCTCCTGCTCTGCCCCTGCCTCGGCTTCCCTGTCTGTCCCCTTGCAAACAGCAAGTGCAAAGGCCAGCGAGCTCTTGGCAGCGAAGGGCTGCGAGCCCAGCTAGAGAGCAGAGATCCAGCCCCAAGGACAGCGGGTTGAGAGATAAACACGGCTGGGGAGCGCAGGTAGTAAAGCTGTCAACAGGGCAGGAGCTGGCCCAGATGTGGGAAGTGGAGAGCCCTTTCTCCCCACACGCTCGAGGAAGCAGGGTGAAGCAGTGTAAAATGCTGAACTGGCTGCTGACATCAGGGCTTTGCATGAGACACAACAGATTTATCGGCCCTGGGAGGGGAAGGCCAGGCTGGGGCAGTGAATGAGGCCTCGCAGCGAGACGAGGGGAAAAAACAAGCCAGGAGCTAGCGATAACCTGAGCTACAGCCAGCTCAGCCCAGACAGGCAGAGAGCAGCCAGGAGTTGAACACCGGGCCCTGCTTGGGCAGTTCTAGCAGGGCTTTATTCCCCTCGCGTCAGCAGCGCTCGGCTCCTGCGAGTCGAGGGGACACGAGACAATACCCAGCCTCGTTCCCAGCAGCGTTTCAGCAGCAGGTCTCCCAGGGCTCGTGGTTGGCCCCCCCTCGTTGCTGGCAGTTCCCGTGCCTCCGTTTCTGCCCTCTCACAACACCTTGCTCAGCATCACCAGCAGCTGGGCAGGACCCCCCGGCTCCCCACCCAGCACTGCCGCCATTCTGCCTTTGCAGACAAGGAAATTGAAGGCAAACAAAGGACGTGGCTCAGGGCGCCAGGAGGGAGGCACACCAGCAGCATGGGCTGCTGTGGCCTCCCTCTCCCTTCACCCTTGTTCACCCCATCACCCTTTCTCCGTGCTATGCCAGGCCTCAAGGACTGGGGGCCAGTGAGGTCAGGGCCAGGCCAGGGGGTCACAGCCTGGCTCTGGGCACACTCGGGCTTTCTCCAGCCATAGAAGAGGGAGGGAGGCCTCTCCCTCATCCTCCCTCACACCCTTGTTCTGAGTGCTTGGAGCACAGGAACCCACGGGGACAGAGCAACGGTGCCCCTCCAGTGCCACACGGACACAGCACAGGCCTGTGCCAACGGGAAGGAGCACGGCGCTGCACAGCAAAGGTCAAGTGAAGCACAGCCTGCTACCAGCACCCTGAGAGATCCTCAGCACTGAAAAGGGATTTAGCAAGCTTCTCAAACACTGGGCGCAGAAACACAGTCTGAGCTGGGGTTTTGGCCAGACAGCAAAGCAGAACACAGAGGCCCAAGGACTCACAGTAGTTTAATCTGGCTGTTTCTGTGCAAGGCAGAGAGTTCTTCCCTTTCTTTACACATCTCCAATCAGCCTCAGCCCGGCCCAAAGTGACAGCTGTGCTTGCAACCCCATGACAGATGCAGGGCCGGGACTGCCACCCTCTGCACCCTCTTCCCCTGCTGCAGAGCCTGCAGACAACGCAGGGACCATTGTCATTCAGGCTCCTGCAGAGGTATGCTAGCGTGGTGCTGTGATCTCTAGCAAGCATGTCTGGGGTTTACAAGAGGCTGATAAGCAGGATGGCAGGTCACCTGCAAGCCCTCCTCGTCCCCCCTGCCATTAGCCCAGCCCTTGACCCCATGTCCCTCAGGCCCAGGCGCACCCCAGAGAGCTTGGCTTGGCAAGACACAAATCTCTTCTGTTTTCGTGCCAGGGAAGAAACCAAATCTGACGAGAACTGGGTGGAACCAGGCCAAAAAGATTTTGGGGCACGGGGACAGGCTGGGAGCTGATGAGCTTTAGACACGCTCCACCTCCAGAGCATCATTCCCGTCATGTTGTGCCACCTAAGAGGAGACCTGGCTGCTGTATATTGAGCATGTCCGTTGGGTGGGCAAACCCTGACCAGTCACCTCTCCAGAGGGCCCAGGGAGAGTGTGGAGCAGCAGTGAGCACAGCAGATTACTCAAGTATAGCCAGGTGCTGGAGGGCGTCCAGTGGAAGACGTGCAGGTGGCAGAGAAGTCCCCGGCATCAGGACAAGGGACACAGCTGGGCAGGCCGGTCAGCCCCAGTCTCCAGGAAGGGCCCTCAGCCGAGCCCAGCTGGCCAGACTCGCGCTCCAGGGCTCCAGGTTTGCCCACGCAGCTTCATTAACTCTTCTCGGGTCGGTTCCTGTTCAGCACCGCCCGGGGGGCGAACTCGAGTTTGTCCTTGAGGCTCACCACCTCGGTCAGGTCCTTGCCGGCGATCTCCTGCAGCTTGCGGTCCTCGCGCCGCTCCGAGATGCTCTGCTCCTCCTCGGCCGGCGGCGGTGGCGGGTCGCCCC